GGGTGGCAAGATGATGAACATGACTAAATCCATGATATTCAAAAGAAAGTGCAAATGGGGGATGCATCAGAATCTTCTATGTATATGTATGTATGTATGTGTATATATATATATATATATATATGTGTGTGTGTGTGTGTGTATAATTATTCGGTAGGTGCTTACACGTTCACAAGTACCGATCTCTAGTATACCATCGGTCCAGTAAATGAACATCGCGGTCTGTTCACAAAATAGTTGAGGCTCCCGTTAGCAACTCTAATACAATCTCAGAATGATCATACAGGTGTTTCTCTGCACATAACTATCACTATAAAAACGAAATTTAAGTTGAATAACGAAATCCTCGTTTTGAGAGGACCAGTTTCATACATACATAGCAAAGAGCGCCAACAAAACAATCTGTGATGAATGTTAGAACACCGCGACAGAATATGCTCGTGTGTGTACCTCAATTCTCGCATGGCTTAAAAACTGAGATAATTCCTTGGATCCAGCGGACTGGACTACGGACGGTCTCGTCAACCAAACATTCCTTCTTTCATCGAATGCCCTGCCAACAGACCTGTAAATGTTTAAACAAGCAGTTGTGAGTCACACAGGCCAAGCACAAATAATATTCTCAAACCACCAACAACATGGTTGCATCCATTAAAGAGTTGCGGAATTTTTTCTTTATGCTCACCCAATGGGTACCCCAACTAAGTAGACATGGTTCATGTAATAGGATCACCATTTTAATAATACAAACATACAGGGTTTGTTTGCACTCCTAGAAAGCTCATTTACAATGACTCTGAAGAACATCACAAAGAGTTCTCTTGTTGTGGAATTCTAAGTTATCAGCCTACATCCCCATCAATTGCGGGGTTATACTAAAGAATGGCCATGTTGGTTGAGAAGGGTATGAAAATTTAGCCATAATCGATGAGCTACTGATTTCATACTCTGTCAAGCAGAACAATCAGCAGAGCATTAAATTTGACTCTGAACTGGGTAGGAGAGGAGGCTTACCCACGGCCACGAGGGAACGTGGAGGAATTGTACGTAGAATTAAAAAGCTCCTTACTCCAAACTTCTGTGTCACCATGGCTGTTCACCGCTGTCGAATTCACTCTGAAGTGACCCCCTTTCCATCCCAGATTCCTGTTCGCACAAAATTCGCAGATCCCACTTCTGAGTTAGCCTGCCTTGGAAACCACAATACTGTGCGTTGTTTGTAGAGAAGCTGTTCCTCTTCTTATACTAGTCACAAAGTCAGGCCAGGCCTGAGGTTTACTAACTCCATGCAGAGTACCAGGACACATGCATTTCTTTACAGTTCTAATCTTTGTTGAATCCTAAAATCCTCCGTCTGTTGAATCTCAGTCCTGGAAGATCCACGATCGACAGCAATCACTCTGATGTTCCCAAATCTGATGATGCGACATCGAACCACATGAAAAATTTGCGGTCTGAAAATCCAGAAATAACTCGATTCTTGACAACAGCTGGGATTAATGGCGAATGTCAAAGCTTTGATTGTAGAAGGTGAAGGAGTGGGAATGCGATTAACCTGGTCTGAGGATTGAAAGTCCAAAGAGCAATGTAGGACCATCCCAGGTGTTGCAACAAGCTCTCGAGTTGCTTCTGCAAATACTGCGCTGGCTCATGAGCAGACACGGAAACGCTTGCGTCTTGAGAGTAATTCATCTTGACTGCGTACAAATGGTCGCGAGCTGATCCGATTAATGTTAAAATTCACCCTCCAATTGCACACTATTAAAATGTGCCCCAGCTTGACTTCTGCATGCTATTTCTAGCTGCTAAAACGACGAGTATTAATGGGAATTTTAAGGACCTTGTGAAGGAAAATAAAATCTATGCCTCAGAGGAATAAGCGTCGCATTGGCAGAGAAGAATGATGCACGTTTTCTTCTGTCTCGTTCAAGTGCCTGGATAGAGAACTGCGAACTACTGCGTTCAAGGGTGTTCGTGGGGGGTATCCATGCTACAGAATATCAGGAGGAGGAGGAGGAGGAAATTGAATAATTGTCTAAATTAAAAACAAGAAAAAAAAAAAGGTTCCCAAGTCAAGCTACAAATGCGGGAGGAAATCCTTGCATTCGTCAGTGCTGTCGACGCTATCGGCAATCCAAAACTGCGACGAGCTTCAAATTCAGCCAAATGAATTGCATGCCCTTGCACTGGTGCTGTTGAAAATAAATCTGTCTCGTTGTTTCTGATCGCTGTCTCGATCCCGAGAGCGTCAGCCAAATTGGATCCCAGCGCAAGAAGGAGCGGTCAGAACCGAAACCTTTGCAAGTAGGTCTAGAATAATTGCATGACGAACAAAATGTGCAACTAACTCCCCACTTGCAACCCCGTGCTCCTGATCATCCGCTAAAATTAGGTACCCAACTGGTATGTTTCCACGAAGGGTCGAGCACGCTCCAGTGCGCTCTTCCAACACTCACAGCAGCCGAGAAACACAACACGCATCACCACCGACAACCACGAGCTCAAACTCTACCTCACCGAAAAACAACAGCACTGGTCAACTCAGACAGAATGCAGGGCTCCCTGCACACGTCTTCGAATGCCGGCTCGTCGGTAGCGATACCGGCAAAACCCACACACACACACACTCTCTCACTGATCTCCAACAACCTCAACCACACAGAACTCTCGCGATCCACCCCTTGACGGTGACGCTGCAATGAACACTCACCCAGCACACGCACGCGTCTGCTGCTACCACCGAGGCGCAGGGGTAAAAGGTTATGAGCAAGCCAACCAGCCAGCCAGCCAGCCGCGAACAAGCTGTGTGCGAGCAAGGCAAGGGGAGAGAGGAAGTGTGGCCTGTGGTAGTCCCGAGATGGCAGTTTAGAGGGGGTGAGATGCCGGCTGAGGGGTCTCGCAGTTAGTCTGGAAATGCGCACGTTTTCCCCTTTGGACGGGCGTGACAAGCTAGCTAGCTATCTAGCCTATTCCATTCCCTCCCCCCTCCTACCTCCCTCTCCCCCTCCCTCGTCCCTGGTCCCTCCTGCTCCCCTGCACCTGCATGCCTCCCTCGTCCCTGGTCCCTCCTGCTCCCCTGCACCTGCATGCCTCCCTCGTCCTCCTCCGATCCAAAAGGGGGTGAGACAGAGAGGAAACTACTGCTACCCTCCTCGTTGACTGACCCGTCGTCGTCACATGAAGCCCGCCCCAACCAGATCCCCCTTCCCCTACCCTGGTGGACACACTGGGCCCACTCTCTGTCTCTCCGTTGTGGCGGTATCGGACATCGTCCACACACACCCCCTCCCCTGCACCGTTTCGTCTTTGTCTGGGTTTCGCATGTGTCATTCTTCTCCACGATTTCTCACGTGTTGTTTTTGCTGATGTAGAGTATTATGCAAGTAGTGGGTTGATTTCTAGAAAAATTCACCAATTGTGAGTGTTTGCTGTACAATTGTGCTTCTGTAACAGTATCAGAGGTGATGTGGTTCTGTAAGCAAATATTCTGAGTTGTTAAGTTAATTATGTATTTCCAGATAATTTAAATTATATATGGTTAAAAATATTTCTTTCAAAACGTCGTATTTATTTATTTACTGACTATACTTAAAAAAACATTTATACCAGCATAATAGATAAAAACATGTTTTTTGAATGCACAACTATTCTTTGGTTGACTTGTTCTGTTGTTGTATTGTGAGAAATCAAAAGAGCTTTAAAATTTTAAAGTACTATATTCTCAGGGTGCACCACAGCCTGACACCCAAGCTCAAGAACTGGAAAGGAATTCTGATCCTCCAACTTTTGCAAGTCACCAACATTGCAAGCACATGTGAGAGGGAGCAAACACGCTCTCTAGATTGTATGAAGAATGTTGGATTCAACTCATGAAGTGCATGCTTGGAGGATATTTGGGGGAATGATGAATTAGAAGTCATGAAGGTCAATGAAGAAGTCCATGTTCCAATTTCTCTCTCTATCAAGAACATATCTAACCTTGACACTTTTTTTCTTTTTTTTTTATCATTCCACACATGCACTCTAATTCTCATGTAATTGGACAGCAATTTCAAATGGATTAACATTTCCTACCCTATACAGAATGGATAGGTATACAGGATGTGGAATTTCAAGCTTTGGTCAGGTTGATTACACCAAATCTTTGTTCAAGTAGGTGTGCTTGGAAAAGGCCTTGTTAAAAGACATTAGGTGAAAATTAAAACCCAAGCACAAACACTTGTTTTTAAACTTGTAGAAACTAAAGTTGATCAATTAACTTGTTTTTTAGCATATATATATATATATATATATATATATATAAAGAGATTAAGACATCCATGGTTTTAATGTGTGATTTTCTGCAGCTCTATTCATGCTTCTTTGGCATTTCCCATGTATTCATTGCAATGCATCACACACAACAGAAACTTCTAGTGACTGGATTGTACCAAAAATAACTGCACACTCTCAATATTCATCCAGATCTTTCATGTGGCATGTTGTCATGTTAACAGCACATGTCAAGTAATAGCCAACTCCATATTCCACTGCAGCTAAATTTCCATTCTGGGCATCATACTACCATGTAGCCTTTGCTGCCCTACATAAAGGGCACTCAGATCACCTGTTTTGGCAGAAACTGACATAAAGCTTAAACCACAAGGATTTATTCCCATGGTGATCCCGAGCTAGTTCCCTGCCTGCCATTTTGGGTCTTTCTCTGGATGACCTATTTTCTATAATAAATCTAAGAGTGATATCCCACCATGTTTCACTGTGTGGATATTTTCATGTGTTACTCATGTTTACAACAGATTGGTGCTATCTCAAAAGATTAGACCAAGAGCTATTTTACAGCCTTGAGTTGACCAAGATCATTGATGGGTTTGAATCCTTGCATTGAGCATGTATTGATATCATGGGTTTAACAAGTATTGGGTGCTTGTATTTGCTTCTGGTTAGAACACCACTTTGAAATTAAATTTCATTTCTATGTATGATTTGATATGAGTTTTCTTTATTTATTAATATTGGTAAAAGCATTACATTTCTTCTGTGCAATACTTAATCTTAGCCTCATTATTGGTATGTACTTTTTATTTTGCTCCTGAGTATATTTTATTGATTATTTTGACTTGTACACATGTAAGGATTTTGGTCTTATCAATCTACATATTATTAACACAGGCATTAAATTAAAATTTATCAAATATTCTATCAGAGTATAACACTTAATTAATTAATAAAATAAACCTTAGACTTTTAAAATATAGGCTCTTAAAGGTTTTGGATTCTGAACTATAAAATGAATCCAAAACATTTAAGAGCCTATATTTTAAAAGTTTATATTGAGATCAAGAAGACATTTTGTTTTACTAAAATACTGCGGCATGCTTGAAACATCATAAAACTCAAAAGTACAAGAGAATCATGAAAAAAAGAAGGATAATCATCATCAATTAATTAGATAAAACCATCACTATAAAAATTGGTTTACACTTAATTCAGCTTTAATAAATTTAGAAATAATTTTATGTTCAAAATATAATATTGTAATCTAAAACATGCTTATCTTCTCATTCATTGACTTGGGGCACGAACCTGGATAAATATGTTGATGGGGGGGGGGGTAATTTGCACAAGTTTGAGCAGGTCATGGGTAGCAATATAAAAGGGATAAAATAGACCTAGAGAGGCTTACACACATGTTCTATTCCACAGAATAATCTCAGACTTGTCCTGCTGTCCGGCAATCAGCCGATGTGTACACCGAGAATTCGGCAGATGGAGCATGTTTTAACTTGGTTTAAGGAGGAAAAAGATGAAAGCTGGCCCTTCTGCAAATAGAAACTATTCGATGAGGAACTTTACTCACAACCAATGAGGCAGCTGCCGATAAACTATTGGTGCCTCCAATATATGGTGCCCATGCTCGAATAGGCTGCAGCCACCATCCACAGGGAAGAAGGAAAAGGAAAGAGATGATAAGAGTGGAGAAGGTGATCTAAACAGCTCGGCTGCAATTAGAAAAGTTATTATAAACTCAATATATTTGGTTAGGAGGTAACTGGAATTCTCGTTCTACTTATGCTTTGTTGGAATAATTCTCCTCATACGAAGCGTGTCAAACACACGTGGTCATCATTAATATAATCGAATCATATTCACAAACGAGTAACTTGAGTTTCTACAGTGGTACATGTAATTCAGGGTAAATAACAAAAAACAAAAAGTACTGAAAACCCGGTCAGTTCGAAACACAACAAAGCTTCGGCTCAATTCTAATTTACGCTTCTAAGAATCAAATGGGAAATGAAGAAAACAAAACGAGACAATAAACCCAATAAGTAAATAAATAATCAATTTCACGGTTCTTTTGAACTACAAGTCAGAGGCAGGCTTGTGGGTAAAGAGAGCTCTTCTTCTCAGAAAATACAAGCCAGCAATATGCGCCAGATCAGATCGGGACCACTCGTCTTCGAAGCAAATCCGACTCTGCAATAGAGAAAAGCTTACTTCAGAAATAACCAGAACGATTAGCTCTGACATCAGATTAAGCAATCTTTGATACTGCTCTAAACCTCAAAGATATTAAAACTTTGTGGCTTCTCACAGTAGGAATTTGCTTTTGGACCATATGGTAGAAAACAAATGCCGTAATCTTCAAGCAAGCATCTTGGCCAGAAAATAAAGCCACATTTGTGCTGTGGCATAGGTTAATCAAGCTGGAAGAAAGCTCCAAGACCTGAAAGGAAAACCGAACTTCGCAAAAAGTTTGAAAAAACATGGATTAAAAATGTTAAGTTGGGACTAAGAGATACCAAACCCTACTTGAGATGGAACTACATTCCACCTTCAAATGTAAGCTTAGTTCCATCTGAATATAGACCACTTAGAGGTCTGCATATGTAATTCACTTCCTTAACCAGTAAAGGATTATTCCCTTGTATTTCAATAAAAATAGAATACCACCATGTAAAACGTAACAAAACAAAACAAAACAAGAAGTGTATATACATATATTTACATATATGTGAACTTACTCTACTCTAAGGACTGTAGCTTAGTGAACAGCGGCGCTGTTTGAAGATGCTTGTGGATGAAAGACGATGAGCATATGCCTTATGATTGTGTAAAAAGTATGGTAAGCCTACCTTTGAGTAACAGGCCCCAGTGGCCATTGGTGCAATCTCGAGACTAAGCTTCTTCCCCAAGCGTAATTCCAAAAAGCAACCCAGTTTCCAGCTATGTAGGGGCTGACGTGGACGTCGGATTAGAATATTCTCACAAACCGGTAACATAATCAAGGAGAAGTATGAACAGGAAAGCATGTAAATCAAAATTGGGAGACTAGAGTCCAAAATCTTGCTTTGGACTCCACAAGGATCTGGTCCTACAGAGGGGTCACAAAGAACGCATGCTCTGGCACACACCCGTGGGGTCATCGAATCACTTGTCAATCTAAGGCTAGTAAAAGCTGATTCAGTATTATAATTGATTTCAACATGGTCTATATGTCCCTCAGCAAATGAATGGGTAGCCTACGCATGAGAAGATAATCAGATTGGTCCTGCATAATTCAACCGCATTTTACGCCACGTGTATAATTCATACCTTCATGTCTATGTCCAGCTGAAAGTTGCACAACTTCCCAGTTCTGAGGTCAAAACCATTACAGACTAGTCGAAGTTAACTCGTTTGCGTGTGTCATGTCCAATGTGGAGTTCATTGGCAAGAACAGCAATCCCACATTTACCTTTTCAGATCATCTGTGGCACCTCTCCACGTCACCGACACTTACACAGCCCGATGGCCAAGTGAGTAATAGAAAAGTTTTCACAAATCAAGCGTTCCTGATGGATTTATATACTCAAACGGCAATTGAGGCTTGTGAGTTGCTACAGTGATCTTACCAATTTCACCCCACGTACTAAGAGTGAATATGCACTAAGAAGACTACTATTATCTACGTCTGGAGTCTAAAATTACAGCGAAGTCTTAACTAGTGAGTCCTCTCATGGTCCATTCAATTAAGTGAGGATAGAGCTTTTCCAAAAAGGAATTAGAAAAACCTTAAAATAACCCCACTTCAAGTGCTTAGTTATATGATCATGGCCAAAGTTGCCGCAGTGGCCCTACTACGTGATTTGTCGGAAAAAATCAAAAGATGGAGGGAGAGAGAAAAAGATGCATCGTTGTGTCGAGACGCGCACCAGGCAGGTTCGACGTTCTAACCTTACCTCTCCTCAATCTGGGCCATGTGGTTTCTGACAAGTCCTGGTTATTCTAGTATTCCACTCACAGGGTCTATTTAAAAAACAAAATTTGCGGTAACGCGCAAGTCAACCTGTTTGACACTTTACAACTAGGATCGCGCCCTCCATACTTGGACAGTTTCTAGCATACAATGAGCAGAGAGCGGGAATACGACAAAAACCCTCGATGAATGTGGAGAATATTGATTTAGAAACGTGTGGGGACCTGCTACTTGCATCAAAGTGCACATGTGTAAATGATTTTGAATATTTCAATTCGCAAAAAGAGTCCAGGCGCACCGTTCGGCACATTGAACACATGTGCTCTTGGGAACGGTCGTGCTGGCACCAATGAACCTGGAAAGAAAGTTTCAAAGAACACATTGCACTAAATAACGCCCCAACACCTGTCCCCAGTCTCCAATGGTGATTCAGCCATGCCCCAAAAATTTCCAGAAAGTTCCCACTACAAATCTACGCGTACCCAGCTCACCGCCTCTCCACATTACTTCGCAGTTTATCCAAGAGATGCTGAAGTTTCTCGCATGAATGATAACTAATTGACTTTCAAATGTTCAAAACTCCACTGGAAGGTCTATAAATAGAAACGTTCAATGTAGTATTCTTGAGAACCAACGCGTTCATTGTTTCTGATAAAGTGAAAATCTTCGTTCAGCCTTGGTGCAAATTCAAGGTAAACCAACTTGTCTTGCAATACAAAGTGTTGTGCTTGTGGTTGGAATAAATGTTCTGTTAGAGGCACTAGGTCGCAGTACGTACGAGCGACTGAGAAGAAAACAGGAATGCAAAGATGCCTGCAGACCTGAATGCAACTCGCAGATGCCGATGAATTTAGACTTCCCTTTCGGCGAGATTCTCATTCTCTTTTTCTCATTTTCTTTCTCTGATAATATTTATTTTGCGTAACTATTATTTTTCTGTTCAACTGTTTGTTTGATAGTTTACCTGTTAGTTTTCTTCGTCACCAAAATTTGAAGAAAGTCCCAAATCCAGCGTACGGAGATCTAGAAATGGAAGTGCATAGTCGCAGTAAACCTACAAAATCAACAGACGTCGATAGCACCGAAAAATGCAAATAGTTGGTTGACAGTCGTTTTTACAGCACTCATGGTTTCAACTTAATCGTTGCAAAGCGCTTAAGGTTACAACGACAAACGTTGATACACATCTGAAGAAAGATACGAAGCGGTAATTTATTTATTTGGTGAATGCTTCTTACCTGAATGGGCTGCACAACGAACCAAAATAAAACTCCTCTGCAGTAAAAATGTTCAGGTTTTCAGAGGGTGCGTAGATGAAGGACTTCAAAGAGTCAGCTGCATTCACCAGTTGAAATTAGAAAAAGATTTGGAAAATGGCATCAGAAAACAGCAATAGCATCAGCTGTTACAAAACTTCCTACAGTATGTTAAGCACTAATCAACCAAGCTTAATTCTGCACATCTCTGCAGTTCGTGAACAAATGTTCACTCAAGGTCATTGCATTTACGCAGTAAAATAAAGTTCCATTCATAACATTATAAGATTCAGAGATTATCTCGAAAAGCTGCAACGGCTCAAATCAGTGCTGAAAATATTGATAAGATCCTACTGATGCAAAGTTTCTCCAAAACTTTAAAACTGCAAAATTCATAATTATTTGCTGAAACATAAAAAATGAAAAACATCCAATGCAGCTCTCCTTCATACATGATTGACACTAGACTCATACAGCATAGCTAGTTTTGATCTCTTGCATGAGTCAATTTAACTGCTTGTGCTATAAAATTCAGTATTCTTGCCAACAATACCATCTTAGCATCATAATCTGTTCGCATAAACCAAGATGAGAGACTCAAGTGTTGTTAATACTTACTGGCGCAGTCCATGCAAACCAACTAGTAGCATGCAAGAAGAAATCCGTGAACAATGCTAGAAATATAAAGCATCAGCGTATACACTATTAAACATTTTCACGACAACAATTCCAATCCTTAGAATGAAGTGAAATTCATTTGAACGAGGTAACCGTCTATAATTCAGGGATACATGAACACAACAATTACAGAATATAGGTAATACTAAGATTACAAAAACCCGAGTTGGAGTTACCTCTTGATTGTGAGAACAACAAGAACATACTAGGATCTTGATAAGATTAAACGAAGATACAAGCCAGACAAAAATTCGTACAACTTTCATCCAAGAGAGCTAATACCTTAGATAGACTGTGGTTGCAATGGTAACATCTTTACAGCAAAGATAATCATGTGTGCAACCGTAATTTAATTTTCTTCATAGAAGGAAAAGCAAATGTAAGTATAATTCATATATTGTGGCTTTCCCATCAAAATAACGCTGTATTCAAGCGAAACATGTTACCATGCAGCCCCAACCTAGCCATGGTAATGAAATCCCAAATTGAATGAAATTTCACCTGCAATAGCACTGCCCAGTCAAAGAAATCATTACAAAGTTCAACCTACTAGAAGAGAGAAGTTAGTATCGCGTTTCAAGAAGACTATTCTACAATCACTTTTATTTACACGATTCCTATCATAGCAGTGACGTTCCTCATTCATCTTTTGAAAACTCGTGGTAAACCCTTCTTTAGGAAAACCGATAACACTTCATTGGAGCTAGATAATTACAATCTATCAAATTGATCAGAAATTTCGCAATTATAATAATCAGTTATTGTTAATATATTCAAGCTCCAGAGGCTGCCAAACATGACGAATTCCATCATTCACCATGTTGCTCAAATCCAAAGAGCTCCACATATAATTAATTAATTAACTAAAATAAAATCATATTAAACTGCCCGCAGATGCTCATCCAAACATGAATTTGTCAACAATACCACACCAAGTTAGGGTACATTGAAATGACACATGATTGGATGGAAAACCCATCAATCAACTTAAGACTACATGAGGACATATACTCTGAAAGCAGGTGGAAGTCTGGAGATACCAAAACATGCATACCTGGACAAGGATGAAGGTCTAAACCTACAGTGGAACAATCAAATAACAGAATGAGATGCTCCGAGACACATACAATCCTTGAGACGAACGACGAAGGACCGAACTTTTTTAAAAACGTAACAGACAGAAGAGAGAACATGGAAACAGAGAATGTCGTCACTGCTTTACCAGATGAAGCATGTATGCAACTTTCCCATGTGCCTATTCCAACCCCTCAACTCAACGTTGGTTAAAATTCTTCAGAGATACGCCGGTGGGTGGCCAAAGGCTGTTTCAGATAACAAAGTATTTGAGTGATTAACCGAAACAATCTGCGGTTTCCTACAGCCGCAACTCCCACTGTTTGCTACTACAAATCTATGATCATAAATACTCTTCAACGATGAGGTTGTAAAACAAAATGAAGCAGTGATACCTGAGTAAAAAAAAGAAAAAAGGAAAGATAATCCTCATTTACATGATCCTTACAAAAGGCTCCCCAAATCTATTAATACAAAGTAAGCTAGTTATAACTAGAAATACATGTTAATACAGATCCGTGTCCATCTTGTGCAACAAACAAAATCACCAACCTAGGAACCAGGTTACGTTAATATTCTGATTAAGTACATCCTATTTGTCACTTAAAATAAACGCCCGACATCATAAATCCACTTTCGAACCACAACTTACTCAAGCTGCTCTTGGTTCCTTACACAACGACATGTGTACCTTCAAGAATGAAGAATCTACTGAAAGCCTAAAATGTCACAATCGTCAACCTAAAATGTTTTTTGAAATAGACTTACATGAAAGACGACTAATATACAATATACAGTAAACCGAACAGATAACCACATGGATCGTAATTATTCAAGCGAAAGATAGCATCAAATCATTTCAGCATTGATAAGACCTACAAAGCCACAGTTGGGTACAATATGCATGCAAGAGCAATGTCTAATTCAACAGGAAGCGCTCACCGTGGATTATGATGTAAAGGACCTGAAATACAGATTGACTGTCCAGTTGAAGTTAAACCACACGATTCTGCCTAATCAATTGAACAGTCTAATCAATCAGTACTGTCACAAGCTCTAACTACAATCTGAAAAATACCTCCATTACTATGGTTTTTCTACACTTCATTTATCGTCAACTCATGCAACATTTGGAAGCATAAAAACAGTAATATAAATTATTAGACATAATAAACTTGTACAAAATAGGAAGGATAATGTATAGGTGTATATATATGTTCTGCTACGAAACGAAAATCGAAGTGAGCTGGTAACTACAGGAGCTACACAAACACGTCGTAAGAACAAAGCAAAAATACGAATTCAGAAAATACGTTCAGTGTGCGTTAAGAGGAACTGAGAGCGCACCCGAACCCCAGATAAATACATCGATTCCGCAAGGGTAGCTTCAACCACTGACCATTCCCCTTCACGCTAAGAAAAGGATGAAATCTGACACAAATTGCAGCACATCCGTTACTCTCCAGCGGCCGTTTTCGAAAACGCCAAACGCATAAATTTCAACCTAACCACTGAATTAAAAATTCCTATACTTATCCACCCTTTTCCACCTTCAATTCGAACCGCGACTCAAAGACGGACCGCATGTCTGCTGCTATTCTACCCATAACCCAACAACCCAAGAACGTGACAATGAAACATCTCAACACCACAATCACTCATATAAAGGAGCACACTCAAAATACACTCGAAGTCCTAATCCAAACACAAAACATCAAAGAATACGTCAACATCATATCCCACAGATCATCACTGCCAATGCCAGCACAACCTGCCTACCCCTGTGGATAGACCACAATACACAACACCAAAGCACCACCGCTCTCAACCCACGAAAGTAATAAACTACAATCTCAAAATACATAAAAATAGAATCCTCTCCGAACCGCAAGGGTTACACTGTCCGTGAGCACTCCATACACACTCCAAGTCCCATTCAGAGTGTGTGCAGTCGTCCTCACAAGCCACCACCGCAAATCACAAAATTATTGAGCTCGCGAATCACCCATAGCTACAAGCTGCTACTCGATGCCCCTACCCCGCCATCTTCCCTATTCACGCACGTTTCAAATTCCCGGGCAATTGCCCAGCGTGGGTCGCGAAGATCGCTACCGATTTCATGATACCCTCAGTAGGAAAGCCACAATCAAACAAAAACTCTACAGCCTCCCCCGGAAATCACAGAGTTAGGTCTAAGAATGTGCATGGGCCCACCCACCAGTTTCAGTGCAGCGCACATTCTATAATCGGTGCCGCCTTCCTCAGGTAGACTGGGAAGCACCGACCTCATTACCGATGGTTGGACAACCTATAGAAATCCGTGTCTTAAGCAAAGCAACATGTGAGAGCAAAAACTGTACCCAGAGCAAATGTCGATAAATTAGTTTAAAGTTGGAAGGGCGGGTAATTAGCAACGCTATCACACTACAAGATCCTCTCCGATGAGATCAAATATCCGACCATCTTAACCATGTGAACAGCTCCCTGGAATGGACCAGTAAATCAACGCAAATCGAAGATTCGTAACGACAATTGCCCTTCCGACCAAAGTGCTCCTGATCGTCCAAGATCCTCGATAACTGATCCGCACCGACAGGAAAACTTCTAACACGTGTTTTACCCACGAGTATAATATCTTCACTATGTTTAGTCCAAACCCCTAAAATGTCCACTTCAGCATCAAGCGTTGGATGGATGATAGTTACAGGATGGACAGATTCTGCGAGTTTGAATTGTGCCACGATGTGAGATTCTGGATGTAGTGAGGACGGGCATCATTGTTGCCTTTCACGGATTGGACCAGGTGGCGAAAATGGATGAAGATCAAGATTCTGGTGGTGTTGTGCTGGAATGCAAATGATGATAGTCGGGAGAAGCGCATGATTCACGTTGGAGAATGTTTTTACCAAAAACACGTGAGGAATTGAACACGTTTGGGGCTCTGACAAACGTGGGATAATGGAAGCAGATAGGGAGGGTTCGAGCACTGAGTCAGAAATTAATGTTCTGAAAGGAAGCCGTACACACTGGCTGGTCTGGGATGCTCCAAAGGGAATTGCTCTGAAAGCTACTCGGAAACTCTATGCTCATTTCTTCTGTTTCGAAACTTCTACACATATATATACATAGGAATATTAAATAGACCAATGAAGATTAACCACATTCATCATGATTACCATATTCTTCATGATGGGTAGGTCAATTTTATAAAAACCTAGGTCTCTTTAACATTTCTATATGTATACCCTCATATTCTTCATGATGGGTAGGTCAATTAAATAAAAACCTAGGTTTCTTTAACATTCCCTTACACACATATATATATATATATATATATATACCCTCATTGTCCTCAATCTGAGTTACATATTTGGCACAAAACTGTCTTGCATAGTTCCATGTCTATTACATGAGGCATGTCTATGTGTGAACATGTGTCTAGGTAAAATTTTTTTGTTTGAAAATAATCCTCACTTGCATTAGGAGAATGATATACTCACAGGTGTTTGGAGAAACCCATGTAAATCAATGGTTAAACAATGAACTAAAAGGATCTAACTATTATATAGGTTATTACCAGTTTGATAATTTTTAGTTAAAATAAATATATATATATATATATCATTTAATGGTATGTGAAAATAATTTTAAAATAATTTTTTCCAACAACAAAGAACAAACCAATTATCTTTAAAGCTGATTGGCCCAATATTTTCTTTGATTTCTATTAATGCAACTAATTTGTCTATAAAAAATGTAAATTTTTGTGTAAATAAATGAATAAAATCATGTGTATATGAGTTTGTATATATATGTATATGTATATTTATGTACATATACACACACGTATCTAAGATTTTATAGCAACAAAATATGCTATTTTTAATGATTAATGGTTTTAATTAAATTTTGTTCTAAAATAATAATAAATATTTTAAAACATAATTTAATAATACATATTTTACATAAAAAAATCATATAATCTTAAACATATTTAAAAAACCTTATAAAGTATTGACAAATTGATTGCTAATTGAATTGATTTATAGTTATTTTTATAATAAGAAAAAAAAATTCAAGCATCATTTTATAAATATTTTTTTATAATTATTTATAAAAAAAATTATGCTTAGTTATAATGTGATAGAAGCCTTTAACATAAAGTATCTCCAAAGAAAAAAACACATTGTATTTCATAAAATAATATTTTGTAATATTAAAATTTTAGTTTTAAAAATTGATATTCTTTAAAAACAAGTAATATAGAATATATAATTTATTACATACTACTCTACATTACTTAATTTTTCTTTGTATTAATTTTTAATATTAAAAAACTAATTTAATTAATGTTAAAACTCAAAATAATTTCACAAGTTTTTGGATTTATACTGGATGTAAGAAGTATCCATTGATATATATATTTGCACCAAGATCTGGAATATAGTAAATCAACTAAAGACATTGTTTTTTCTTAACTACAATATTCAACCTATATCCGAAAGGATAACTATTTTTTGTTTAGAAGTTTTTTTTTATTATTACCATATCCTTTGTATGCAATAATAGCTAATATAATGCCATGAAGATGTAAACTACAAGGCACCAGTCTACTATATTATTTGTGATGCTTTCAAAATTTAAAATTTATGAAAAGTAGGCATAATCAATTTAAATTAATTTTTTCCAATCAGCACAATTTATTATTCTCTTTATTTAAAATCATAAATGTAAATAACATATTTTTTTTTATTATTTAGTTTTATATTAGTTTGCTTGCAATTATCTTTTAGGGAATAAAATCTGTTAGATGATTTTCTACTCAAAATAAGTAATTTTTTTATTTACAACCCTTTGTTGATATCTCAAATTGTATTATTACTTGGCATACTTTGTAAAAGAGTAGATACATCAGATTTTATTAATAGAAGGATCTTTTTTTAATGTAAATATAGAAAAAAGTGTTTGTATTTTATTTTTTATTTTTTATTATTTTTTAAGATGGATCATGTAAAATTAAATGACTTAATGCCATTATCTAATTGATAGAAGAATTTTCAAATTTTATAATAAACACTATGTACATCTTTGCTATTAGCACTATTAATGCTACTATCTTTACATTCAATATCATTCCTAAAGATGTTTTAAAAATATATTTTGCAATTTTTTAAATTATTATAAAATAAAATAATAGATAAATAATTTTTAGAAATTGATTATGAATTAAAAATTTATAATATCAAAATAAAAATTTAAAAATTTAAACAACATCAATATTACGATATTTATATATTACAAAATCCTTGTACATATATTTTTTTAATGTAAAATTTCACATGAGTTAAAATAATATTAAAATATATAATAAATAAAACTTATTATTTTTTAAACTTTAGTATAAATAATAATTAGCTAGTCTAGTTTATAAATGTTAGTTTGGAAGAATCAACCCTTCTAGGAAACTTAAAGTAACAAGATTTAGAGAATAAATGATAGCTAGGATATATTCAAGTTACATAAGAACAATATCAATAGAGCCCAAATAATAGAAGACACATTAGAAATATTTAATTCATATAAGAATCAAATGTCCAAAAGTTTAGATTTGAACAAATTATGTGAGATGAATAAGTTGTTGCTTACAAAAAGATAATTAGTTATTAGCAATTAAAGACTATAGTATAAGTCACCTGGAATATTAATAGTTGGTAGTATGAAGGGCCATGTTCATTGTTGTTATTATTTATTATAAATTCTCATTCAAATTAATTATAATTATACATTATTTTCTAAATCAATACTCTAGTACTTCTATTGTTTTATCTAAGTTCAATCTTTATGGTCTTTCTTTTGATGTTGAGGTATATGGAATTTGGCTCAAACTAATAGTTGGTAAGGATTTTTTTTAATATAAAATTTAGCAAATAAACTATTTGAAGATTAATACTTACACATCAGTAACCAACAAGAGGCAAAACAATCTAATGACGATATAAGGTAATAATCAAGCTTTCTTTTAATCAAAAGATAAGTTTAGATAGAATTTTTTGACTTACTAGCTTTTAGACTTACCTGTGTCCAAATTATTAAAATTTAGACTTTAGATCTATTAAATAGTAACTTACATGTACTTATATTTTATATATATTATATCAAATTAAATAAAATCATATCTAATTTATTTATTTATAATTATTAAATATAATACAATTTGATATTTTATCTTTATATATGAAAAATAAATTTAGAATAAATATCATAATTTTAAGTTTGTAAAATATGTTACTTAAAATTATAAATATTTATTAAGTTTTTAAAAAATTTAAGATTTATATTTTTATAATTATAAGTACATTTGGATGCAGTAACTAATTTTATTTTTTTAATTAATGAGAAGTGTATATTATACATGCTCAACATATATAAAAAAAAAGGTATCAAGTTATAAGTATTTTAAAGAATTACAGTTAAATAATATATAGCAAAAATAGCAATTTGGACCTAATAACAAAATAGTTGTTACAAATATGTACATCACCTAATAATTAGAAGTAGTTGAAATAAAATTAATATTTAATATGTTATTTTAAAAAAATCTAAAAAAACATTTTGGGCTAAAATTAGATTATTAAGTACGCTGTTAGTTGTGAGATTTTTTTAAAGTTTTATATTTTTGAAAAAACTACCGTGAAAGAATTGCATCAATTTCTAGCGTCATTACTCTTGTTCCGGGTTAACCTAGTCGCCATTGACCAAGCACATACGATAGCACAGGTCGTACACCGACAAGCACTTCCACGCTATTACAGCGCAGCATTAAGACTTGTTGCCGTAGCCCGCTACTGACCTCAACTTGGCAAGGAAAGGATAGAGCAACGCACTACAACTAGCTGTGAAAACGACAAGCCAGAAGCGGCCAAATCCTGACCCGAAATCCTGAATGGAAGGCCACCAGACGATCACCTGACAATCTAAGAAATCTTAGACGCAAATTTACAGAACCATACCGAGGCCGACAAATCTGCAGCAAACAATAGCCACGGAATTAGAGAAGCACAAATAATGCGATGCGGCACTTGGAAGGTAGCGTCGGGGACCTACAAGTGTTGCAGAGCAGATCGAGATCCGACACTACGAAGCCATCCACAAACACGCCTTAAGTTTCAATTGTTCAAACAAGCACACACTCTTGCGATGACGGCACTCTAGTTAAACTCCTTTACGGATCGATGCACGATCTTTCTATAAACGACTTCTGTAGCATCATGAAAAAAGTACTCATTCCCCATCCTTACACTTTGATCTTTTTGTGTGTGAACAAATATTTCACACCTATACTTCATCAACACAATCTACGGTGTATGGATGCAGTACAAAATTCGCCCTTCATAGATTCAGCCTAGGGCTAAACATCGAACACCTCTCGCAAGCTACAAACTAGGAATATGCATTTCTAGTTTTCAAATGCAAAACCTTTTGCAGGATGAAAAAAATATAATGAAAACAACCTTCAAACCCTGGACAAAAAAAAAAAAAAAAAAAAAAAAAAAAATCCTTTAAAACACCAATGATAAGAATGTGTGTGTGTGTGTATATATATATATTTGACAAGCTTATAGTAATTCTTTTTATGTGCTTACAGATTTCTAGTGCAGAAATTGTGATATGATATTTAACAATATCTATAAACATGAGATTTTTTTTTTTTTTTTTTTTCTTGAACTTCTTATTTTACTTGAACCATTATGTTTAAAACTCATACCCGAAAACGTAAGATTTTATCCCAATTTTTTTAAAAAATAAATATTAAATCAAAATTTGCATCTATACTTAAATTAGAATCCCTAATTCATGATTTGTGAATGTATATATATATATATATATACATACATATACAAGATAATGAAATGCTATATTTTTTTTACATTACCAAAGAAACTGGTATTTCTTGAAAATTTCATCAATATTATGTTCCTCAAATAAGATTTGGAACGCAGTAGTTTAAAGGAATATTTTGAACTTGATTTGTTGAGCCAATCTGAAGAACCAAAAAGCTATAACTCATTAGCAAAAGTGTGGATTCTCATAACAAACTTTTAAATGTGAGAATATTGTCAAATGTGTGTTCATTATACAGTCTTAAAGAATAATCTACTGTCTTTTATGGGCTTTAATGCATGACAAAACTCACACTAAACGTTAAGCCTCGATGCAGGTTGTTACAGTGTTAACTTCTGCCCACACCAACTTACTGGCAATTTAAACGGTTATGGGGACCCCACGTTGCCCCCATCAGAGGCGCGGTCTAAGGCCCTCATGTTTAACCGCAGGCTTCAAGCGTTCGTATGGAGTGTTTGTCTAGGTCGGCGGCTACATGCGATCGCGTCCCTATCGTCGTGGTTCGGATTCTTCTAGTGTGAGTTGGAGAATCTGAGTCCACTTCACAGCCCCCCTATTCATCGTCGAAGCCACTGCATACTCCTTTTCAAACATAGCAAAGATTTTCTAGAGCAAGGTAAGCAGGAACTCTTTCTTTGTTTTTGATTCTGTTTCCAGATCTGTAAGAGTTGAAGTGAACAATCGACGTGCCAGAAGCAAGGTTCACCTCATCCTTGGCGCTAGTGTTTTTGACAGGTTTTATTTTGATACGCGAGATGGGCTCCTCAAGGGTTCTTGTTCTCTTGCTTCTAAGCGCTACCGTCATGGCCGTGACGGCGGACGTGGTCTCCCTCACCGATGCCACGTACGCGGACAAACTGAAGGAGCAGGATACCTTGTGGTTCATCAAGTTCTTCGCTCCCTGGTGTGGCCATTGCAGGACTTTGGCTCCCACATGGGAGAAGCTTGGCACGGCCCTTGCGGACGAATCCGGGATCGAAGTGGCATCTGTGGATTGTACCACGAGCAAGGCGACTTGCACTAAGGCGGATATCCGATCATACCCTAGCCTGAAGATTTTTTACAACGGCGAGGAGGTGAAGAAGTATCAAGGTGCGCGCGATCTGGAGTCCTTGAAGGCGTTCGTGCTTCAGGAGTATGCGGAGGCCACCAAGGCTGCAAAGAGTGAAGAGGCAGCGGTGTTGTAGAGGTGTGTTGCACGATCGAATTTTCTCAGTGGTTTAGAGGTTTCGTAATCACCGCAAACCTAAATTTGTATCTTGGAGCTCTTGGCGCTGCGTTTGAGACTGCCGTGACTAGATCGCTAAGGTAATTGGATTAGCTGGTTTCGTTGATCCGGATGAGCGGGCAGTTCGTGTGTCGGAGGTTTAGAATCACAATTGCCGTGTGGGCATTTATGTTCTTCCTTGGTTGAATTTTAAACTTAATTGCTGTGTTGATTAATCCTTATACCGAGCAACCAACTTTTTAATTATGTATAGTTATGGCACTCCTGCACTGTTCTATTCTTGTTTAAACTCTTTTCGATGGCTAATTGCTGTGGTTTTGCTGCTCCAAGCCATATGCAAGTCATTTTAATATGCTTTCATCAAGGTCATTGTTACTAGGTTCTTCATAGAAGGTTCACAGTCTGTCTGTACAGTGTGTGATTGCGAAATTAGGTCAGAACATGATTGATTTATGCATGGCGAAGTCTGTGCAGCGATGATCCTAGATTGTAGTGAAAACTTCTTCACTAGACCAGGCTATGGCATCTAGGCCCTTCTCGATTCGGAAAGCCGCATCATCCTTACCTTCGAATGCACTGGAGTTTCTAACATGCGTGAAAACTCAGTTATGCAAAATGATATTTCCGGTGTCATGCGAAGGCTAGATTTTAGCATCATATACTGGCCAAAGATGTGTTGCCTTTACAGAGGACCCGTAACTTGGAATATGGTCGTCACTGCCTTAGTTCATCGAAACAAAGGTGCTTATTATGAGTCCGCTAATTACAAAGGGGTGGTCTGCTAAACGTATTCTTAGAGCAAGTAACTGTTCAAAAATGGTACATTTCCAGGAACGTGGAGATAATTACGTTTGGACAACATTGTGTATCCCAAGCTTTCCTGAAGTACTGTTGGGTACTGATAGAAAGACAATTTGATTCCAGTCATTATAAGCGCAAGCAAGATTCCAATGCACGGCAGAATGTGAACCTGCTGCATTCTAGGTTACTGTTTTCAACCCTGGCTAAACTGCTATGGTCTATGATGTACGTCGAATCGCTGTTCTTGCACGCTAACGAAACTGCATCTAGCTGTTCAAATGCCGGGCAGTGAGAATTCGACTTGGCCTGGTTTACATGCACCAACGAAGCTACAAATCCTAATGCTACACAGCAGTCAGAGCTCCTCTGTTTGCAAGCTTGGTCTCACACAATCAGTGCACAATTTATGCGCGTGTGCGTGTTTAGTGCCTGTTGAGTGCACTCTAAGACAGCGTGGCCATTCCAACTAGCTTCAGTCGTTTAGCCGGCTGGTTTCATTAGAATAACAGACCCAAACCCTAAGAATATGCAAGACATGTATAGCCTCCGACATGAACATGTTTTACTCATAAATTCACAGGACTCCACAACAATAATCTACTCTTCTACAGTTTACGTGGCACATTAGGATGTGTGATATTTGGGTCATGAATATCAGTGTTATTTCGCATAATATCTTGCCAGCTTGACTTTTCTGTCCGTCTAGAAATCTCTGCCAGAGTATCCGCTGGCTGGGCCTCATGCACAAGTTGTGAGGACGTTCTCTCCCTGTCCACTACCATGAGCACAATAGCACCAACAAACATAACCACTCCAGTTACATATGGAAACCATGAGTACCGGTTATTGCTCTTCCCCCTTTTCTTAAGCTCGTTCCGCTCAAGTCCCTGCGACTTCATGAAAGATAGGTCTTTACAACTCAAGTCCAACACACCCAACCCATTCACTTGCGGCTCCTTAGATATTACTGAGGGACTAATAGGTCTCAAATCCCTCTCGTCAGACATTAAGGCGGTAGTCTCCACTTCAGGCACTGCTTGTTTTGCATTTGACTCTATTAATTCCATTGATGAAGGTTGCCTAATTTCAGCAGTCTCATATGGGGTCTCCACAGCTTGCGAGCCGACCTGAAATAATTTTGTGTTAACACAATCGGCATCAGAGGCACCCCTTGAAGGTGGATCTACAGAGGTCGATGAAGAACCATCTTTGCTCAGCTTACTGCTCATGCTGAGCCTGGCGGAAGGCAGCTTATTTGACGGCTGCTCGATATGGTCCCGGAGATTGTTCACTACCTCAGTGGACGTTGACTGTTTAGGAGAAGGGCTCACCCAAGTATGCCTCACGTTATCGAAGTCAGGTAGTTGAATACTCAGCATTCGCGCTTTCTTTGACAAGCTTCGTAAGCAAACACACACATGGCGTATATCTTTCTTGTCGACTGCGTCAGATGGATTAAATAAATCCAAATCCAACATTCCTACATCCTTGCAAACCTTCAGAAAAGCTTCAACATAGGAATATGGTTGATACTTCAGGCTAGTCTTCAGATTCACGTGTGGAGAGGACAGTGATGGCGCAGGCGGATTCTCGATATGACCTTTACTGAAAGAAAGTTTTTCCAAATTCTTTTTGACGATCTGCGAAACGTTGAAAAGTACTGTGCCGTCAGCTAACAAATCCTGTAAGCTTGCGTCAGGGTCAAGTTTCACTTCCAACACTGCCTCCAGCCATTCTCGGGCTCCTTTCTGTAGAAGTTCAACATCGGACTCACGAAAACTACTGGAGTTAATTCCACGAGGAGGGGTGAAACCCTCCATATCCTCTAAAGTTAAGCAACTTCGATATTCTGAAAATCCAGTGTTCTGATCTCGCGGTAAAACTTATAAACCTTTGGTGTTCAATGCTGTACCAAATCAAAATCCCATCACCACAGGCCCCTGTGATGCAACGAAAATTATGTTACGAGAACACTTGCAAATACACCTACACGGTCAACACAAAAGGAAGAATTTATTAGAGTGTGATAATAACTTCAAATATGATGCAAAACCTCAAAAAACTCTGAAAAGAAATCCCTTAACCAGAATCCATTGCAAGGATGGCGAGCTCTTAAACTATATTGATCTACAAAGTTTGGTAATAATGAAGAGAGTCCTTAACATTAAAACTTGGTCTGGCGTACTAAGAAAAAAATGCAGAACCACTGGACACACTGCAGTTAACAGCTAGCAGAAGCTATTAAAAAAATCTTTTTCAGAAAGGATTCCATTGGAATTTAAAGAACCTGATCAAATTGATCACAAACACCACTGGGGGATCGAATTCAGATTCATGAAATCAGATGTAATTCTACGAATAATGCTGCAATAAGGTGATGAACCTACACCCTACAATTTAAAACTTTGTCGTCGCAATTCCGAGTTGCATAGCAGAGCTGTAGACCAGCACGCCAATAATCGAAAAAAAATCACTTCTAAATTATTCAAGTTCGCCAACTAGTCCCAAGCATAAAGGAGGCTTTCAGTAGCTTACTCATAATTTTAAAGGCAAGTGTTAACGCTTTTTACGCTCAAGAGAGAAGCGGAGCCACAGACAAGTTTAAAAGTATATTTTCAATCGGACATTTATGTAACAAATATTTTGCCAACATCGAATAGTGGTATCAGAATAGGTCTGGACACGAAAGTGAAAAAACTTCAAGCATCAATTTTAGATAGCGGAATAAAGAAATGGTTTCAGTGGAAAACCCTGCTATGCTCAGAAGTTCATCCGAGCAACGATAATCTATTTCGGAAGATATTCCTGCGCACATAAATCAATCTTGCTTCGTAATCACAACCGCGATGAAACATTTGACAAGATCCTGCAATGTGGACCTTCCATCTTCTAAAAGATACCAAAAGCGAATAAAGAAATGTTCCATAGAGATCACACAGCGTGAAGAGACAAAAGTGTCATTCAAAAAATTATTCTATCAGTTTACAAAGGAGGAAGAAGACTGACTCCAAACGGTTCACTCTAACAACACCTGAAAATTCGAGCAATAGAACAGCACTAAGTGTGCATCGTGCATAAATCTGAAGATTCGACAACACAAGAAACGATCGCAGCGTATGCTTTAAAATCCACACACATTCATGTAAAACATTAATCATTTGATCCAAAACAACTGAGAGCCTTAGGCAACACCGCAATTGAACAAATCCATGTTCTAAACAAAGCAATCGACAGCAAACCAACATCGATGGAATCCAAACTACCTAATTCACTGAAATTTCACGGCAAACAAACTGAACAGGAATAGAGCTCCTAACCAAGATCGCAAGACATCGTATAGTCATAGCAGAAGCTTGAATGAAGATTTGCGAGGAGAATGTAGCAACGAAAAAAGTAAACTCCTCGGACATGGAGAAATGTCAGAAAGAACAGAAGAACGTGAAACGAACCGCACCATCAGACCCAACACCCCAAAATCACGAGAACAAACAAATTTCGGTGCTGTAAAATCCGGCGCGACAACTAGTCCATACCATGCGAGGTCAGTCGTCACCTGATCACGATATCTGATAAAAGAAGGGAGCAGAAAGACTGACGAAGAGAGACGGAGAATGCGGAAAACAGAGAAAATCAACTCAACATCCTAAACCCTCTTCTCCTTGCCCATGGCAATGGCATGCTGTGAAACGGGTGCGGATGCGCCGATAGAAACGCCCATAGAAACGCCCAGGCACCCCGTCTCACCCGCTTTATCCGTGAAGGCCGAACTTAGGAATGTTCAGCCATAGATTCCCACTGCCTCGTGACTCCTGCTCCCACAATTCCTCGTCTTTTCCCCCCTCACTTGGTGATCCCAAAGGGCTTTGTAATCCCAATCTGTTTCCAGGTGCATGGTTCTCAGGGTTCCCATCGTTCACAAAGCCTAACATCAAACCATGTGGCAAATTTCACTGTGCATCAGTCCAAGGTCTGCATTCATCCCAAAATTCCAATGCAGGTTGAAATTCTGAAACAGAAAGAGCAATGTAAGAAAATCTAAAGCATTCATATATAAGTATTGCACAAACCATAAGCAGTTATTATTCAAGCCAAAATAAATCAGAAATAAAAAGCTTCATATATACATCTAAATATGTATATATATATATATATATATATAAACACATGCATGCACACACACACACACACACACAAATGCAGGCCTTGCAATTTCAGCAAGTATGTATTTTGAAAATCCCTACCTTTTCAAATACATAAACAAACAAACAAATATTTATTGAAGCACACAAAAAAAAGAAAGTGTAAACTTGGAAGGCTTTGAATTGGAAAATTTGCTAGCATACAGTTGCAAGTTGTATTGCATTTATTGTATTTAATTTTCTGTCAAAATGATGGCAACATCATTAAAACAATTCATTGATAAGCATGAGAAGAAAAGGGAGAGGGGGTGAAGGGTTGAGAGTTTGTCGGGGTTGTTTGTGGTCGAAGATGTTGGTGGTTTCAGAAGCGGCAGCTGAGTGTGGGGGTAAGCAGGGAAGGAGAATGGTAAGTTTGAACCAAAACGTATAGGAAGACGCGTATGGAAATGATCTCCACGTGAGACTCCACGGGAGTGGGGTAGGCCCAAGTAGTGTGGCTTTGTTAGCTCAGTTGGTTAGAGCGTCGTGCTAATAACGCGAAGGTCACAGGTTCGAAACCTGTACAGAGCATCCTTATGATTTGGTTTTAATTTTTCTCCTAGAACACCACATATTTTCAACAACGCTTCATTCATTACAAAGTCAAAAAGTTGAATTTTAACCCAGTTCCAAGTACACAACAAAGAAGGATAGAATGCCCTGCTACACATAAGCTATTAAAAAACCAAAATGAAGGGACACTTTTGATATTACTTTTAGTTTTAGTATTACTATGATATATTTTTTGAAATATCATAGTAATACTAATAACAAAAACACTTTTGGCTTTGTTGGGTGGTAGCCATAATTCACATACAACCAATACATGTAGCAAATAATGAAATATACATGCACAACTCATGCATTGTACATTCAAAATAAAAAAATAAAAAATGGATGGGCTTTGCTTGACATAAATTTTAAAATACAACTAAGGGCCATAAAATATTTTTACCAATCTTATATTCAATATTTTGGATTTTATTTATTTATTTATTTATTTTTAAGATACAACATTTCTTGTTTCTTTTATTTTTTTATTTACTTACTTATTACTTATTTACTTACTTATTTATTTTGGCACAAATGAAATACACTCAATGCATTAATACAACATGGAGATTCAACAACCATCCTATGGCCTAATGCTTTAACTAAAGCACATTTAGGAACATGGTGACCACAAACCCTTACTTTCTATTGACCTAAAGGACTTTTTATTTATTTTTAATTATAAACTATCAACTTTGAAAATAAAAACCTTAGATTCTACCTTATTTTTATTTTTGTACAATCACCTAACATATGATTTTAGTCATTTAAGTTCTATTCTATTTACAAAGAAAGATTGTACAATCATATGGTTATTTTCTATCTTTTTATATGTGTTTTTTTACATCATTTAGCCATCTTCTTATAGAAGAGTTTAGATTAAGCTTCTAACTTATGTCTTGTTTTATATTTCTTCACCAAAACAAAAAGGATTTTTTAGAATCCATAGTATATGAAGGCAAGTGTCACAAAGCAAAGATTAGATGATTTTACAATGCTTGAAGTAAAAAAAAAAAAATGTCTTTATTCAAAATTGTTTGTTTCTAAGAGATTTTTTTTGAGGATCTCCATTTTTTCAAGCTATTTACTAATTTAGACATAAAATAGGGCGTCCAATTTTGTATATGTTGTATTTGTAGGCAAGTCTAAATTCTTTGTATTATGGATTTTAACTTTTTAAAGATAGCATAGAAATTTCTTTATTATATTGCACCTACTTACTATATATTACAACTTATTAATATTGAATAGAAAAAAAATAATATTGATATTTTATTTTTATATGGTTCAAATGTCATATCTTTTTATTTAAAATCTAAGATGTTGGGCTTTCTAGATGATATTCTAAGTCCATATAATACCAAAACATGTGTAGATAAATAGAATTTAAAGGTTTCATATTTTATATGTTATTTGTGTTATAATTTTACATTATTTTTTTTGAGATAGTATAAGCAAATTTTGATTTTTGATTGATGGTATGAAATAATATATAAATTATATTGAAATTACTTATTTATTTAAAAAATATTTATAATAACATGAAATATTAAATTTGTAAAGAATTGAATATAGTAATACAAATTCTTATTTGTAATATTATCATCTTCAAAGATATTGATGACTCTTGTAAGATATAAATTTCTTAAGAATTGAAATCATATGTATAGAAGGCAAACAATGACCATGTTGTATCAAGGACAAGAATTTGATGAATACAAATAAATAATTGAGATGTTGTTAAAAGGGCAAGCCTTCTTGGGAGAACATAGGATCCTTCATTGCAAGTGGGTTGTAAAAAGCACAATGTTACTCAAATAAAGTCAAATATAAAAAAATAGTCAAAGGCAAAGTATAAGATTTAGACTAAATTCTTTTTTATGCCAAGATGCATCCAATTCCTAACTCAAATCTTAGATCCATACTTCATCTTATTAAAATACATATAACTCAATTATTACTAATTTAATCTAAGAAAAGTTAAGCTTGTTGAGCTTAATTCAAGCTACAAACTTCAAATTGTTAAATTCCATAAACAAAATCTGGAAAAAATAAGAACCAATTCAAGGAAAAAATCTTCATGAAGTTTTTTTTTTTTTTTTTTTTTTTTTTTTTTAAATTACAACTCTGGCTATATATTTGACATGTACAAATAAGCTTGAGTAAAATAAAGAAGCTAATGGGATATTTTGAAGCTTAAAAATAATTTTTGTATATGCACTAATCTCGTATTATGTTAACTTTTTCAAATCATTTTTTATGAAAACAGACAGATCAGACTTTGTTTTGATTATGGTATTATTACAAAATAAATAAAAAAAAATCAACTCCACCCTATTATTTTTTATTTAAAAACTTTTTAGCAATAGAGATCAACTGTAAGATTCACAACAAAGCACTTCTTACAATTGTGCATTTATTTCAAAAATAGTGCCATTCAATAGAAGGTGCTTCAAGTCCATTGACTATTTATACAAATCACAAGAATCTCCAATATTCATGTTAGTATGTATTTTAAATAATTGCCAAGCCTATTAAAGTAGGACTTTATTAAGATTTAAATTCAAGATCACATATGGACTAAAAAAACAATAAGTTTTGATAGATATCTTTTTTTAGAAGTTATTATCTTGTATCAAAAGAAAGAGATGTAGCTTTTCATGAATAAAGAATAATTTTCTTGAAGCCAAAGAGATTCCATCTTTGAATAATAAAATCAATAGTAATCATTGATTCAATGTTTTTATAAGCAAGTTTAATCAATTATGTCATCTAACTCTCTTGTTTATGATATTAGAAATAATTCTTAAAAATCTCATAATACTTCTAAGTTTGAGTCAAAGAACAATTTACTTTATTTCAAGGGATGTTTATATGTTCTAGAAGGTGAACCACAATTACAAGCTCTTTAAGCTCATTATAATTTTCTAACTGTATGATATTTTGGATACAACAAGATTTAGAAATTAATCTCAATTTGTTTTTGATGGCCTTAAATATAAAAAGAAATTAAAGAATTTTTACAATCATATAATATTTATTCAAGATAAAAAAAATTAACTTTAACCTTATCAACTTTTAAACTACTACTTATATAAGAGTAACTATGATCTTTTGATTCTATGGATTTATCATAGATCTTTCAATCTCAAGTTTATATTATTTTATATTTGTGTTAGTAGATTATTTGAATCAGATAACATATTTTATACTATGTAAAAAATCTATTACATGTAAAAAAATAATTAAATATTTTTTTTGACAATATCTATTATTATTATGGATTATCAAAGAATATTACATCTAATAGATAAATTCAATTTGTATCAAGTTTTAAAAAAATTATTTTCAAGATATTGAAAGTGGATATAAAATTATCTTTGTCTTTTCATCCTTAAATTGATAAACAAAAAAAATAGGTGAATTAAGTTTTGGAGCAATATTTATAATATACCATCAACTACAATAAAGATGAATGGTCAATTTTTTTATCATTAATAAAGTATTTTTTATAATAATATAATACATTCTTCTATTCAATAAATATTTTTTATGTTAATTATGATTATCATCCATGACTTGATAAGTTAGACTTTTTAAAAGTTAGTAATCTTATAGCAAAAGATTTTATAAATTATTTATCAAAACTACATACAACAATGAATTCATAACTAAAGAAGACTCAAGAATAACAAAGAGCAATATAGTTGCCTATTACAAGGAACAACCTTTGTTCTATGTTGGTAATTAGATATGCTTACTTTGTTGTAATATAAAGACTTAGATCATTTTTTATTTGTGAATAAATTGATCCAATTATATATTAGTTCTATCTAAAAGAGTCTATGAAGATCTATCTTGTATTTTATGTGTCTTTTTTAACCATATAAGACATTGAATAAGTCAATAAAAAAAAAATGTCACATCTTTTTAAAGAAATAGATAATAATTAAATATTTAAAGATAAATAGCATGAAAAATAAAGATATATTTTATTGAATAGATAGC